CATTTTGCTTACGGGAACTGCTACGTTTTCAATGGAGGGTACAGTGACCAAGGAGAAAGAACCATTTTGTGGAAGTCAAGTGAAACAGGCCCCTTGTTCGGTTTGTCAGTGTTTGATTTTTCGACCTCATTAAGATACTCTGGATGTCATTTCCAAAAGGTCTTCAGGAATTTTCAAACACCTAGACACGAAAAAACTAGAAAGAGAAGATTGTAAATTGTTTTTTTAGCTGGGTGATTGTTGGCAAAAGAAGATGATTCCTTTTTCAGTCAGTGGAAAAAAGCTTTCTACGGAAAGAGGTTCCCATAAGTTTCCAAGCTCATCGGTAAAGCATTCAAAGCACGAATGTGAATGTAATACCTTCGACTCCTGACGAGACCGCTTGAATTTGTTTCCCTTGAGATTGCTTGTTTCGCAGGCGGAAATGAAAACCTTTACTTTGACGTTTGGTGCTTTTGGTGCCTTGTGTATTTCAGATATATATATTAACATTAGAACTTTATTGGCGATGATATTTACTTTTTTTCGTTTCATTAAGGGCTTAGTCTGGAGCTGAACATCGAACAAGATCAGTACATCGGATCCTTGACACAAGAAGCAGGAGTGAGAATTGACATCTCAGATCAAGGAGAAATGCCTTTTCCTCTCGATAAAGGACTGAGTCTTGCACCAGGATATGCCATGTCTGTTGGAATGAGGAAGGTTTCATCTGTTGAGCATTTGTGGAAGTTCTTGAATAGAACTTGCGATCAAAAGCATCACAATACGATCCAACCTGAAAGAGAAGAAAATTTTTTTTTCAAATGATTTATCTCAAAGTTTTTTCCTAATTTCTGGCAAATAACTCCTCAGTACCTCCCACATCATCATCGGCACTTTATTTGTTTAGCTTCTTGTTTGTTTGTTTCCTTGTTTTTCCTCTTTTACTTTTGCTTCTATCTCATTGCAGGCAACCATGAATCTTTGGTTGCTGTAATCAAATGATGTTCTTAATAAAATTACCATTGACCAATCGAAACGCAAGGGATAAATCCGGCCAATTGGATATCATGGAGAGCTTTTTTCCTCTTCGGATTGATCGTCATATTGAATGTTTATATTTTTCTTTCAAGGTTGTTTTGAAACGATCGGATCCTTTTCGGAACAACTCCTGCATGAAAAACTCTGCCCCTGAAAGCATGAACCTTTTCAAGGATACGATGAAAGCGGATTATTCAACAGCTGTATGTGTTACTGAGTATCTTAATATTTTTCTCTTTGTTTGTCGTTTTATGTGGGTTTGGTTCTGTTATTTTGCTATGTAAGATATTTTAAAATTAATCCCTGAGTCTTTGTTGGATATGAGGTGGTAAATATCCAACGAGCTTGTGCGGACTCAGAGTTGAAAGTTTAGTAATAATCTATACTCATTATCTTTAAGACTGCCTAACATCAACTGATTTTAGAGTCCTTAATAATATACACAAAGCTACACAATACTTAATTTGCAATCACATCGTCCCCCTTCCTAGCCAGTTTATTTGCTATCCTTTCTCTTTTTTTAACCTTATTTGTTAGGCATGCAAAAAGAGCTGCTGGGCACAAAAGCAACAAGAAGAGTGTGGATGCGTTGAATACAAATATCCAAGGCCGAAGTCTACTCGTTTCTGTGAAACCTCAAACAAAACAGACAGTAAGCACTTCCCTGAGATAACTCGTAATAGATTTAGAAAGCTATCACTATGCCCCCTCTGCCCTCTCTCTTCTGCAACAATCCCTGTTCTCTCTCCCATCCTGCCTTACCTCTTCTCTCAAGAAAGGTTCGCCATGTTGGCATAGATATAAATTCCTGGGCACTAGTAGTTTTTTTAAGGAAACAATTTCTAAATATAAAACTTAACCTTTTGCGTGAAATACATGTACATCTATATAAAGCTGACGTGATATTATAATATCTTTTTCTAGGAGCTTGTGTCAGAAAAGTAAAAGACTATTTTATCAAGGGAGTACTGAACTGTTCCCAATCATGTCCTCCACCTTGCAAGTAAGAAAAATTATTTACCTTTTTTTTACGTACGCAGAAGCTCAATTTGAGTCCTGAAAGTAAACCCAGATTGCTCAAAGTAATGTAGATTAAAAAGACCTTTGTATTCTGTTAATTTATTTTTAAGACGTATTGTTTTTGACGTTTCGGTAACATAATCAATATTCAGTTACAGGTACACAGTTCCTGGTCACATTTTGAATTTAAATTTATTTCAGGGAGAGCACATTCAAATTCACTACATCTTACTCGTTGTGGCCGACCACAAGTTCGGAGGTCGGTATACATTCATGGAGCTTACATGTTTTAAGAAGTAACTTCTATTTTTTTATTTTTCAATATTTTTCCATATGTATCATTCCAACCTTGAACAAAGTTTTCACTTTATTTATATTTTTCACTCGTTTTTCGGAATATCGAGAACCCAAAACCGCACGGGACGTTTTAATTAGTAAATTTACTTAAATTACTCACATCAAATGAAAGGTTTATCAGGTCTCAAATACACCTTTGTGATATCATACCAGAAAATTAACTTCATATCCTTCCAACCCATTGCAAGGTCATTTCAATTTTCTAAAATGAAAAATCTGTGATCATATCTTTCGATGACTACAAGCGCTGTGATTGGTACTTTAAGTAAGTGTTGTGGTGTAAGTTATGTATCCTTGCTTCTTCCTGTTTGATTTATGTTTGAGGAAACGCATGATCCGTAACTTACAGTTCGAAGTGTTTATCTTCTTTTCAATCCACGGGCACTAGAAACTCTATAGAGCGAAATTGAAGGCCAGGAATAAGGAGGTGGACGGAGAATCCGACGACTTAAGGTAAAATTATAATTAGATTGTACTTATAACTGTTGTACAACTCTTACTAATTGGGATTCATTTGCAGGCGAAGCCACTGGCAATAAAGAGAAACGAAAATCAAATTAAATTTATGATGTCATACATCTTATTCTAAACTTGATAACATCATGAGTCTGCCAAAGCTTTTAATTGCTGCTTTTTAGGAAACACATTCTCAAAGTAAATGTATTCTTTGAAGAACTGAATTACGAAGTTATTTCGGAGGATCCGGCGTATGAGGTAAGTGATGAAATCTGAGGATCAATATCAGTATCTAAGCAAATGCATACCTACCCCTCCCCCTTAACCAACGTTAACCCTATGTTATCACTTGGTTATTGTTGGGCTTGGTGATGGGTAGGTCCACGGTTCCTAAGATACTGACATTAATAAAAGTTTACTTATGGATCTATAATTGGCATGATTACTGGAAATTTGCCATCGACGATAACCTGACCATTCAACTCGCCAATTGGAAAGGGATCTAACGAATCATATTCATTTTAGCTTGACATACATAATTACTTCAAGTGGCATTAAACGCAAAATTTGATTTGCCTGCAGTTGCCAAGTTTTATGTCAGACCTCGGAGGATCACTTGGTCTTTGGATAGGAATGTCCGTTTTGACGTTTGCCGAAATCTTGGAGCTGATTTTACTTATCTGTTATACTTTGGCTCGAAAGCTGAAAAATAGAGTGGGTGCCAGGTCATCAACTGTCGCTGTTGAAATGTTCCAACCAGAGTAATGATACCTAGTGGTCGAAAAGTGATTCCTAACTGTAATTTCATGTCGGCAGTTTTTGACGATTAACTTAGTCTAGTTCGAATGATTTACGGGTAACAAAGCACAGTTGCCTAAACAGGACGTAGTTTACGCTTTTATTTCAGTAGATGAACAGTTGTTATTTCTCTTAAGCAAAATATGTGTGTAGTTAGCCGTCGTCGACGACCGAAGATCTATAGAAAGCCAGTAAATATAGTTGAACAAGAAGAAGAGCTACACCTTGTAAATACGAAGTAGAGTGGTTTCGTTTTAATACGCTTTTTTTCTTTAATTAAACATTCACGACTAACATGAGAATAAAGCTAAATTGAATAACTAGTAAAGTATGCAGAATAGGTTACCAGAGAAAAATCAGTAACAAGCCGCATGCATCTCAGCCTCATTTTGTATATTATTGACTGCTTTAAGCCTAGCGATAACTCTTTAATCTCTGATTAAGTATGTTGTCATTTAAATTAATATAAGGTTTATTTTCTCCTTAAAATTTCAAAATCGAACCAGCTTCGGCCCTTTCAATATCTACTTGATTTATATATGGTAGGATTACGGATAAAATATATTGTTTTCTAAAGATGCAAATATACCTGTTTCAGTTTATTCGTATAGATAATCACATGATTTCGAGTGTAATTTGGAATAAATAAGCATGAGTAAATTTTTTTAAAAATTTTGTTAAAAATTAACAAGTGCTTGTGTATTCCAAATTGCACGAGAAAAATCATGTGATCACGTGTTAATAATATACATGGAAAAATACGAGATGGCTTATCATATAATTAATCATAAGCAAAGCGCGCGCATCAAGTGCAAAAATAATTTTTTCAAACCGTGCTTTCGGTCAAAACAACCGCGTACGATCAAAACAATAATGTGCAATGATATCTTCACATCTTTAAGGTGCAAAAACGTTCAAAGTCCGGCTAAACAGTTCAAGGAATTGTTCAGCCTGTGTCCGAATCACTTTCGATGAAATGGAATCGTCGTTTCCGAGGTTTTACCATGTTTGTTTTTAATTTCGGCGTTGGATCGCTCGAGCAAAGTGTTAAGCTGGGTCGGCTCGTAATTTTCGATTTCCTCGGCAATTCCCTTCCCTAAACACCCCTTTTTCCAAACCGACAACCAAAAACCCCCAGTGCTTTTTACAGTGTTTTCGTTGTTTAAGCTGTTTATCAGCTCCGGTGGCGAAAGAAAGCCTACTTAAAACGCCGGCCATTGTTTCGCTCGCAAATTTTCAAATTTTGTTGCGACATCCAAGGCTCGCATTTGATTGGCTATCTGTGAGTTTCTTTGATTATTGACCAATGAGAATGTCTGATTTGTTTCTTTCTTTGCACTGAATTAACCCTCTTCTGCACTGAATTAACTCTCTTCTGCACTGAATTACCTGAAAACTGCATTTATCTTAACCAATCAGAACTGAGTAATTTTTCCATGTATATTATTAAAAGAAAAATATTGTTTTTCTTTACGCTCAAGTAGTTATTCTAAAGCCCCTCGTCCTTAATTTGATTTTATTTTTGGCAGTTTTGAAACCAGATATTAGCATGTTCTGCATCCCAGCATATGAAACTCTTTGACGCATGTGTTAGAATATGGCGAGAGTATCTTAAACTAACACATGCTTGGTATCTTTATTGCTCTACGATTAAGTCTCCTTCAATTCCAACGAGGCTGACTCGACTTTCCCTCGCGATGTGCATTTTTTGACAAGATGAGCAAACAGCAACATAAAAAACTCAATGAACTCGGCTATTGTCAGCACAGAAAATCCGATCCATAAACCGAGCTGGCCACCAATGTCGGACGCGAAATCTGCAATCTGTTTAAACAAGGGAAAAAAATGGACTTTTGAATAAGAGCAATCTTTGATCTCGGGTAAGCTATCGGTGTCACTATCAAGGTCTTCAATCGCCTCTGTGCAGAAAATTGTCTCTTTCAATTGCATTTGACATCGACGGTATTTTAGTGCGTGACTTTTTGTTAGGCGACATGACTTGCATATAGAGAGAGTTGGTTTTAATGAGTCACTACAATAGAGATAACTTAAATTTTTTTAAAATTTGCGAACCTAAGGCTCGATGCACTCATCGAGAGTCATGTCTTACCGGAGGTACACCAATGGAGATCAATTTTACTGGTGCACATTTACACTAGCCACTCCCCCAATGCAGCGAACTTTTCATTCCAATTATTTCTCGATAAGTTACGAGCTTTTCTGCATTGTTTCGGAAAAAGTTTTTCGGCACTGCCCATACGAAAAGGACTTTTGTTTGATGCTTAATGGGAAAGTTGAGCAGGGACAATGGATCATTTCTTGATACGATGAACATTGCATACCAAACCAAACGTCAAAAATATGAATAAATGAGAAAATAAAAGTATACTCACTCCGTATGATTTTTGTTCTTTTATCATTTCAACATTAAGTTCTTCGAAGAAAATTTGTACCTTCAACACATTTTTCCTGTAGATTTAATGCAGAAATATTGAATGTCAGAAAATTTGCATCAATGTCTATAATCGTCTCGCCGTACCTAACATGCAATTTGAAGAACATTATAAACCAGGCTGCTATCTTACAGGAACTTTTGCGGGAGACTATTCCTCACCTGAGAGAGTCAAAATCTGACCAAACGAATTTCCCGCGCTTCTCGAGCTCATCTTGGTAGAATACCTGGAAAAACAAATCAATTTAGTTCGTTTACCTCTAATAAATTTTGGTCCGGCCACTTTTTAAACACCTAAAATCACAAACTGCAATTAGCAACCTCGTAATTTTCCGAAGGCCAAACAGCAAGCGATGTACTTATCTTGAACTCTTCCTGGCTGTAAGAAAATTAATAATGAATATTTCAAAGTTAATTTCTGAGGAAAATTTACCATCGCATTTAAAAAAGTGACAAGTGAAAATGATAAGCTAACGAAAATTACGACAGATTTAATTTTCACAGAATAGATTTCATTATACCTGCATGGAGGGGGACAAGAGCTGCTGCAATTTAGTTTGTTGTCCCGGTACTGCTTCTGTAACTTGTTGAGACAGCCAACTGCAGATTAAAAAATAGCAACACTGTGAAACAAAGCCAGAAAGATTGCTCTTTTTCTACCCGCTTCAGTTTCAAGTATAGTTTAATGTTCTAATTCCTTCGCAGATAATTGTGCTGCTGGAAAAGATCAAGTGATTGTAGAAGACATCATGAAAAAAAAACTTAAAAGGGAAACTGAATTAAAACGTTATTATTGTGTAACAGACCATCAGAAGTGTGAACTTACTAGTGGTTTTATTGGTAATATCACAAACTGGATTTTTGTCCACAGGAAATCTGTACTCCATACATCCACACTGTAAAAACTGATTGTCGGCTAAGCATGACTCCTTACAGGCCTGAGATTGAAAAAGGGAGATCACTTTATTCCATGACAAAGTAACATTAACTCTCTCACCCCCATGTGTGACCAAGACAGAAATTGTCCCATAAATATATATACAAAATCGAGTAGAAAGGATTTGAGAATCAAGAAACAAATAAGTTAGGTGATTATTGATTGATCCAATACCAAATTCTTTGAACCAACATCGTTAGAATAGTATGGCACACTGGGCTAGGAAAGAGTTAAGTCTTTGAATTAAGTGAAAAACGCAAGACAAAATTATGCTCTCAATCAAGGATTGATTCAACCTGTAATGATTCTTCCTCTAAAGCTGTCACAATTGGTTTGGCTTATTACTTTACTGCTAGTTTGTGTTCTGATTTGTTTCAGCTGTAGATGATGATTGGTCATTTTATCTCGTTTTC